GCGCACTCGAGCCCTACGCTTCCCCGAAGTCCTCCCCGGACGCTGCCCCCGAGGACGGCGACGGCGCGACTGGGGAAACCAAACGGTGCCGATACCGCCACTCCCCGGACCCCTCCTGGGGTCCGTACTGGCCAGAGTTTCTAGGCGCATCCTGCGGTGGCGACGAGGGCCTCCCAGGAGGTTCCAGAATTGAGCAGGGCCCGACCGTCCTGGCATTCCTATAGGCCTACCACGAAATCTTCTGAGAACCCCAAAATGTTCCATTACCAACACAATGTTCTTAGAACATGAAGCTCAATGTGTTAAAACACGACAGTCTCAGCCAGCAGTGTTCTAAGAACATCTCGTGCAAGCCACAAAAGGTTATCAGAACATTCTTTGGAAGGCCTATAGGGGAGCGAGGACGCTTCGCCACTGCTTGACAGAAGGGGGAAACGAAGAGAGGGCATCGGCATCGGCACCTTGGCCTCCTCTGAACGACGGCAGCGCCCCAGCGCCTTCGCAGGCGACGGCGGCGTGGCCCACGGCTGCCCTGATGGCCCGCTGGCCGGCCCGCCCCCCGCTGCGTCGCCCGGCTGCGCCGCGGCGGGGGGCCGCTCGGGGCCGTCGCCCTTTGGCGGGGGGGCAAGCGGAAGGGGGGAGGCAGGAGGAGGGAGGAGGGAGGAAGAGCAAGAGGGAGGAGGGAGGAGGACCAGTGTAAACACAAGACTCATCAACGACATTGGCATTAGTTCTCCCTCCAAATTCCCTCGTCACAAGCTCCTGCACGGATTGAGTATCACACTCAAAGAAATGCCCGGCTGGAAGACAGCCGTGTGAAAGTCCAGAATTGTGCCAAACGCCATTCCTGGGGTCTCAACGCCGCGAATCAACCTTACACTTGACGATTCTGAATCGTGCCAGGACGCCATGCCTGGGACTTCAACGTGACTCTTGCGCCCTGACATGCCGACATCGTCCCAAAGCATGATTTCTGGGACGTTAGCCATGAGAATCCTTGAATGTGCCGCAAACTCTTGGGACGAATGTGCGCGACGAGAAGGCGAGAACCACAATTTGAAAAGGAGCCGCCCTCCATCCGTGAAGCTCTGGCACACTGAAAAAAACGAATGTGCGCGGCGCTCAGGCGAGAACCAACAGAACCGCCCTCCATCTGTGAAACTCTCACAAACTTTTAAAACAAATGTGCGCAACGCTGAAGAGAGAACCACATGTAGGGAAAAAAACATCGCCCCCCTTCCGTGAAACTCTTGCGAATTTTTGAAACGAATGCGCGCGGCGCTAAGGCGAGAACCACATTTTGAAAACGAACCGCCCCCCATCCTCGGCACTCTTGCTTTTTTTCCAACATGAAGGCGCGCGGCGCTATAGCGAGAACCACATTATGAAACAGGCCGCCCTCCATCCGTGAAGGAGTTGCAAACTTCAAGCTTCAGAACAAGGAAACGTGAGAACGTTTCAAACGAAACGCCCGGCCCGCCCCTTCTACCGGCCCCGGGGTGCGACAGGGAGGAGTTCTCATTATGGAATGGGGGGCGGACTTCTCCCCCTCCTCCCGGAGGAGGGTGGAGGAGGAGTGAGGCAGGAAGAAGAGAGAAGGGTGCGCCGGGTACCACAGCCACGCCTACCGCGACCGCCGCGGCCACGACCAGCACGTCCGCCAAAACCGCAACCACCGGCAGGACCGCCGCCAGACCGACCACCACGACCCCCATCAGCGTCAACACGACCGCCTGCACGACCACCACGACCCCTCCCCGCTTTCCGCCCCCCTTTCCCCTTTCCTTCTCCCTCCCCTCTCTCCCTGTCTGGCCGCCCCTGCTTGTGTCCCTCGTGCATTCTGGCGTCGGCTACATGCGTGACTTTGTATATCCGCCGAGCCAGCCGGCGTGTCTGAGAGGCTCTTCGACGCGAGGCCAGCCCAACCCAAACTGAAGTACCGGCTGCCTCGCGCTCGACGGAAGCCTCGCGTTTGGCTGCCACTCGCATGGCGGCCTGGTCTGCTTGAAACCCTGCGACTACTCCCTCGGCTTCCTCGGATACGCGCTGGTACGGCACCACGCCACCACCGCTGTCTTTTGAAAACTGATCCCTTAGCTGACTCCCCGGATGATCGATTTTTCCCGAGACTGCTGGACGGCGAGTTGCAGGCTCGCTCTCGGCCCCTGTCCGAACGCTGGCCCAGAGGAAAAACCCGAGGACGTCCCAGTTGGTCCTTCCGGCCCCAGAGATCCCCCCCCAGCAGCTTCCGAGAACCCTTCCCGCAAGGCCTGGCTGAGCAAAGGTCGAAGATGGGATGATGTACCTCCCCTGCGCCTGAAAAGTACCCTTGGGCAGGTGCGGGCGCGATCGACAGACCGACGCTGGAGCGTTGAAATCCTCGGCGGCAGCCGAACAATCATCTACCTGGATGGTGCGACGCGCCGAGGGCAGACGCGTCGTGGGCGCGCTGACCCCCAACTGGGTGAACCTCATGGTCTGATTCGGGAGGCCCGCCGCTCCACCTAGGCACTCCTGGAAACCAATGGGCAACAGAGGCGGGGCGTCTTGGCTTAGAGCGCCCAGCTCAAGAACTCCCATCCGACCCTCGATGCCCTGAGGGATGAGAGCGGTCGCTAAAACGGTGACCCCTCCTCCGACGCCTCGAGCGTTGGAAATCCTCGGGGGGGGGGGCCCTTGGGATAGAGAAGCCCTTGGAGGCCCAGTGTTCCTCGACCTGCCTGAGGGCGGGTTCCCCGATGAGGCCCTGGCCAGCAGCTGCGTCTACGGCCGTGGCTCCGGGTCCCACGGCTAGCAAAACTACAGCATGCGAGGGAGGAGGAGGAGGAGGAGGAGGAGGAGGAGGAGGAGGAGGAGGAGGAGGAGGAGGAGGATCGTCAAAGGTGAGAGTAGGCTGAGAGCCGTCAACTAATCCCACATGCCGAAATGATGCCCCCGTCATGGCTGGTTTCTGATCCCTCCCGCTTTGGCCCTGGTCCTGGCGCTTCGGACGCTCGCGAGACCAGTGGCCCTTCTGGCGGCGCAGCCGGCACCGAGTGCGCTTGATCAGCTCCTGGAGTTGCAGGCGCCCCTTTCGGGGTCGAAAGGTGCCGCCCGCCGCCCTGCGGCCGGGCCTGCCAGGCTTCTCGCGCCCGTCGGCGCCGCGGGCTCCAGCTGAGGCGGACCTGCCGTAAAACTTCCTGTCGACCTTCAACTGCCTCTTCAGGTCGCGATTCTGCTTCCAGGTCTTGCCGCGTTCCTGGTTGAGCGCAGCGAGCGCGGCCTGGGCGTCGTCCTCCCCTCCCCGACGTCGGCCGCGCCCGGGGTGGCCCAGACCTCTGCTTCCCCCTCGGAGTTGAGTGAAGAGACGCCCGAATAGTCGATCAGAGAATCGTCATCCTCGACCTGGTAAGTCGGCATCGACGGAGCTGGAGCTGTAGCGCTCCGGCCGTCCCCGGAGGACATCGTGGCGTAGGTCTTCGGCCGGGCCCTCAGATGCTCGCGATGCGTGATGTCCATCTCTGGCATGGCGTTCAGCGCCGCGGCGTGGCTCCTCTGGTCCTTCATGAGGACCTTCACCATCTGAACGGTCTTCTCGTCCAGACCGACTCCCTCCTCGAGGAACATCAGCTTCCAGGTCGTCTGGGAGCGGAAGACCCTAAGTAGCCGCGCGATCGAAGGCCGTGTCGATGCGGGCGCAATGCTCGGTCATAGTATCCCCTTGCTTGCGGCTGTAATCCAGAAGACACTCGCGAGTCACCTTCCGGCGCTCGTCGCCCTGCCATTCACCTGACAAGAGATCGAAGTGTTGAATTATGGTATCAATCCCGCGAGGGCCACATAGCGCAGCGTCGTCTATATCCTCGAGTTTCCGTTGAAGGTCCTGATTTGGGGTGCGGAAGAGCCTGTCCGCCTGCTTGTGTGTCGGCGCGTCGGTCAAAAATCTCCATCGCAAGACCTTGCGACGCCGCATGCGATAGCCAGCCCAAGACGACCACTTCTCGGGATCTGTGAAATCCTTGCCCAGCTTGGAATCGCCCCAGTCGGAGTAGCGTTGATCAAAATTGGGCTCCCGCTTCCCGGCGCTAGAGCGCAATTTGTCATCTGCCGTATGATTCCAGCCTGGATTCCACGTGTCCGTCTGCTGCTGCTCGCCAGATCGCCAGTCGTTGCGACCCCAGGCGGAAGCCTCGGTCGCATTGGAGTCCCACGCGTGTGACGAGCCCCACGTCGCCCCGGACGCCCAGCTAGACTCGTGGCCGCCATGGTCTCTGCCCTGCCACGCCGGCTCGTCCGTCCAGCTGCTTCTCGGCCACCAACCTGGCCCCGAAAGGTCCTGTCCCGTCTTCGGCCGCCTTCTGGGTTGGCCGACTGTCCTTCCAGCTTGATTGCCAGCCCGCCTGAGCGGTCGCCGAGCCCTCCTTGGGCCAGACTGTGTCGACCTCCTTCCAGTTGTCGTCGCTGTTTCCTCGCCAGTCGGCTGCCGCTGGGCATTCCCTGACGATTCGCACGCCCGCGCAGCTTGAACGAAGGTATTTGCCAAGCCCCGCCCCGCCACTTCACTGAGTCCGAAACTTTCCTGTCGTAACAGCGTGTCCATCACGGCGTGCACCGTGGACTGTCCCCCATCATGTGTCTGTCGCGGGTCCAGATCATCATCGGTCCTCTCTGCTGCCATTCTCGGTCCGCGGATGCTGACCTGCTCAATGCTCCGCTACCACTGTCGCCCCACGGACGACGGCGGGGAGGATGAGGATGTCTGGTTTTCCGCCTCCACGGGGAGACGCTGTGCGCAGTCCTAACAGTGCCGCTCAGAACAGAGCGGTCGCAATACAGCAGGTGAGAAAATATGGGGAAAAGGGGGGAGGATAGGATAGGATGTTTGGGAAGTGCTGAGGAATGAGCAGGCGGGTCTTGAACCAAAACGGTACGGACCCCTCACTCATGACCTTCAAGCTCAGGGAGTCTAGTGAGACAGCCCTCATCACCAACGAACGGGCCTCGAGACTCGAATCTCACATCATCACCTCGTCATCGTCATCATGATCATGATCATGATCATCATCATCATAATAATCATCATCATCATCATCGTCCTCGTCGCCCCAGTGTCATCGCCATCCTCATCATCGTCATGATCATCAGAATCCTCGTCGTCGTCATCGTCGTCATCCAGGATCTCCAGAGGAGGAGCGCCGACCTTCGGCGGAGGACGGGGGAAGGCAGATGGCAAGGACATGATTCAACCAATCGCCACCGAGAGTCCAGCTGTCGGTCAAGACTGTCTGAAATTGTTTCAGTCTAACCGCCGGCGGGGCCCAATCGGTCAGGCCACCAGCAGCGGTGGCCTGCCCCGAGCGGTCAGTGAGCGACACTTCGGCCAGCACCCCCGTCAGGTCAGGGAGCGCCACGGGGACATCGGCCAACTGACCCCTCGAACAGTCGCCACCCAGAATGCTTGTGCGGTGGTGGAACTTGCCGCGGGCAGCTGGGTGCCAGGAGGGCGGGGGGAAGGAGCCGAGAAAAGCAGAAGGAGCTAGGAGGAGCAAAGCAAAGCAAACCTCGTGGAGTCCTGAAGGTCATCGTAGGCCGTCCTACCCGAAAGGACTCTGAGTGGGCTGCGTTCAGCCTGCTGTAGCACTGGCGTCCGCCGCGCGCTCCTCCAGTGGAGGCGCGGGCCCGAGCGGCAGCCCGGGGGGCGCGCATCCCCTATTGGGCGCCACCCGCAGGGCGTGAAACCTGCGCGCCGCTGTCCTGATGCCGGGAAAACAACGCCGGACACCTTCCGCGAAAACGGCCAAAAACACAAAAACTGCGTAAAGTGCCCGGCCAGCCCTGGCGGCGATGCCCGAGCGGCAGCCCGAGGGGCGCGCGTCCCCTATTGGGCGCCGCCCGCAGGGCGCGAGCCCTGTGCGCCGCTGTCCTGACAAGACGGGCGGAGGGGGCGAGAGGGAGTTCTCCGAGCGGGGGGAATAGAAGCGATGGGGATCGACGGCATTGCGGGATGTGCGTGCGTGGCCACGGTCGGCCGCGTAGCTCGCTGCACCGTCTCCGCCGAGACAATCCCCTTGCGGACAAGATCCGCTAGGCGCTCACTGCTCCGCAAGTTGATGCGGTGTCTCAGCTCTTGAGGCCGTTCAGCTCGATGACCGTGCGGGCCAGCGGCCCCCTGGGGGCTGGGCCCGACGTCCGCTCGGCCTCCTGCGAGGCCATGATCTTCATGAGGAGCTCGTAGAGGTTCATGCCCGCCGTCGAGCGCGTGTCCACCGCCCGCTCGAAGTGGCCCGTGCGCTGGGCGCCCCCCTTCGGCTTGTGCAAGCGCGCGCGGGAGACCCGCACTAGAAGGCCCAGCGTCTTCAGCGGCATCCCCTGGATCTCGCGGAGCGCCTTCGTGACGTGGGTGTGAAGCTCCTTCTCCTCTCCCCTGTCCTTCGTGAGAGCCACCGCCGCAACCATGGGCGCCATCAAGATGTGCAGGTGCGGGCTGCCTCTGCCCTTTCCAGTCCTGCTCCTCGCCCTTGGACTGCGCCGCCTTCATCTCCTTGCTGTTGGCGTTGTACTCCTTGCCCGCGCGAGTCGACGCCTCCACGAGCTCGTTGTCCGCGGGCAGCACCGCGCGCTCGTAGACGGCCGACTTGAGCTCCTCCAGGTCGCGGTCCATCGTGACGATCAGCCGACCCATGGCGTTCGCGAGCTTGGAGGTGTTGCCGCTGGAGCCCTTGCCCCCGCCTGAGGTCTTCTTGTCGCCCTTGTCCTTGTCCCCGTCCTCTGCCGCGCCTTCGCCCTCCTCCGCGCGGCGCTTCTTGCGGCCCTTGAGCCGCGCTGGAAGGGGTAGTTCCTCGCTGCCCTGGGGGGTGGCATCAGTGCTCTGCCGCTCTGCAGCCCGTGTGGATATGGAAACTGGCAGATGGTGCTGAACCAGATGGCTACAGAGACTGTCCAGATCGCCCAGTTCCGAATCACACAATCGGCAAGCGAAGGAAGCAGGTTGACGCACTGGAAGAAGCGTGCGGCCCCCTCCGCCAGGACATGCTCCCTTAATCATCGCTGTCTGTAAGTGGCGGCCTGCGCGCCGACGATCACGGAAGACAGCCCTGCAACATATACAAACGTTCGTAGGAGTAAGAACAGCCGCAAAGTTCCGTTGGTGATGTGCAAATCTGAAGTGGTTCAACAACTGTTTGCAAGTGTGAAACCTGCTCGGACATCCGACAATATGACAGGCAAGCTGAGGGTCATCGGGAGACTCAGGAGGATGCGAGGGCACGAGCCGACCACTGACGACAGGGCCTCCCAAGCAGGGAGGCGGAGGAATCGCGAACGAGAACTCCCTGAACCGCAACTGCGTCATATCGATCATGCGGAACTCCTCGCTCCGATCACTGCTCGCGAGGACCCGCAGGTACTTCGCAACGTCCCCCGCGCATTGCTCATATAGAATACGGGCTGCCAGCTCTAGGTCCTCAGCGACTTGTCGCGCCCGCGGCGAAGCATGCTGAGTAAGGGTGCCTCTTAAGCACGGCGGACGACCAGAATCAATCTCGAGAGTCCCAAAGAGCGCCACCAAGACCTGAGATGCCCCCGCGGGGTCGGCGGGCCAACTTTGGCACAGACGCAGCCTGCGCACGTGCAATTCTACTCGCGAGCCTGCTAGTTCCCAGAAGTCCAAGACCTGCTTATTACTCATGCTCTTTATGTGGTCCCCCTCCCAGTCCGTAGCCGCCCCCTGCGTTGCAGCGCGCGCAACTCCTGCTAGACAGGCGCCCAGCACTTGATAATCCCGAGAGGACAAATGGAAAGACTCCAGAGCTGAAAGAAGAGCGTTCTGCACCAGTCCTTGTAGAAGCGAGCGTTTGTGCCGTCGAACAATGGGGAGATACTGCATCCCCCCCAGTGAGTAGAAAGCCTTGCGGGCCGCGGCACGCCTCCGAGTGACCTCTAGATGGGCGCAATCTTTCAAAGCCACATGCGCGCCAAGGTATGGATCATCTTCTTTGGGCACTCCGTGAAGACCAAAAGGCCGAGGACCCATCAAAAGCCCACGAAAGTACTGCGCCCCCTTCCCCGAAAAATAAAACAAGAACTCCTGCTTCGCGAGGTTCTGAGCCAAACCGAAGTCGGAGAGGCAACGGTTGAGCAGCAGGTCGACCCCCGAAAGCTTTTCAAGGAACTCGAGAAATGTCATGCCCTCTTCAGCGATCACGAACTTGTTCAGATCATCTGCGTACTTTAACAAGGACAAATCCGTCAAGAGGTCCCCCCAACGTCCCTTCAAGGCCCTCGCCGTGGGGTCAACGTCCAACAAGTCCCCACTCCATCTCAAAATAGGTCGTGAAAATGTTTGCAGAAAGGTACTAACCACAAAGGATCACCCATGACTCCTCCCTCTTGCGTCTTCACTAAAATCGAGCCGTCGTTGCCTGTAAGTTCTACGGCGGACAACCTGTAACGCTGCTTGCATAACTCCGTGTCCTCGGGCCGCACATGCACCTCCATGCTCGCATCCATGGCGTCCCACGAAGTACTGGCGAAGGCATTTGTCATGTCCTTCGGGGCCACGCAGTGGGCCCTGCGGATCTGGCGCAACCTGTGGCTCACAACCTGGGCAATCAGGATCGGATTCTCACGACGTCGGCCTTCCGCGAAGCCATGGTCGTGCAGGGTGGCCTGGCCGCGGGCCCGAGAGGCGAAGAACGCTTTGCCCGCGACCGGTAACGCGTGGACCACCCTTCTTCCCTTCGGGCCGTGCTGCATGTTCTTGTGCAACGCGGATCCCTGGGGCAGATTCCAATGTAGTGGCGAGGCACAATATGCACGGACCTTGTCCAACCCGATCCGTAAAACGTCCCGGAAGATATTCGCCGACAGACTCTTCTTTTCCGTCCCGAGACCCGCTTGACTTCGAATGCGCCAGTTTGGGTAAAACAGCATGTGCCACAGTTCCAAGGGCATAGTACAATTTGGCACGGCACGTCTTTTCGGGGCCCGTCTAACATAGCGTCGCATAGCCTGAATGTCTAAATCGACCAACTCGCCAATCTCTGGGTCACTTACCTCCTCGTGCGTCTCCTCCTCCCGCGTGCTCCTCCACTGCTCCCAATCCAATAATACCGCTGACGTACCTCCTTCCTTACCAGGCCCCTCCCATACCTCCTTCCACTCGTCGCAAGTAGGAAGAGCCGAGAGGACCAGTCTGCCATCTCTCTGCTTAGGACCATATCGACATCTCGCTGCAGCCCGCAGCGCTCGCATACACTCTGCATCCCGACCGCTGCGAAGGGCGTCCTTCGCCTCTTGCATGAATCGGGCGCGCCGTATCCGAGTCTGAGATCGACGGGTTCGTGTGAGCTCCTTTGTCAGGTCCTTGAGTTCCTGGTCGACCGTCCTGGCGTACCCTGGAGTATTGCCTAGCTTACTGTGGCGAAGGTGCGCACGCTGTCTAAGGAGTTCGCGACGACGGCGAGAGTCCTCCGACTACGTCGAAGTCGGGGCTGTTGTTTTTGAGAAATGCTGCTGCCCTGCCGTGACGATCGCCTGCTCAAGCCCTTCAAAGATCGCGTCTGGCGAGGGGTGGTGGAGGTAAGACAATACAGGCAACCGCTGCAGCTCACGTTTGACCGTCTCCAGAAATTCGGCTCGACCTTCCCCCCATCGAACGGCACCCATCATAGCGTTTTTATCCCAAGCCAGCGGCGGAGCGGCCGCAGGGCCCTCGTCTCCACCTTTCCAACACGGCATTTCGAAGTACAACGGCACATGGTCCCAAGGCGGGGGGCCCGTGTAGGCCTGCAGTTTCGCTCCCAGGTTCATCAGAGGGTGGCATTTCTTGACCTTGTGGTTCAGGCCCGCGGAGTAGCAGAAATAGTCGATCCTTGTCCCCGCCCCTCCGCCCATAGACGAAAAAGAAGTTGGCACGGGGTTCGTGGTGAACGTGTTCCCCGCCACCATGAGATGCATTTCCAGTTGCTCCCGAAACAAGTGCCCTGCCCCGCCACGAAGCCTTTCCCGTGTAGGGCACCCTATAGCCGACGATTCCAGAACTCTCCAGCCCTCCGCCCCGTTCGTCTCCCCCATCCCGTCGTTCACGTCGGAGAACACGAGAGGCGTACAGCGGCACAGCAAACCGGATAGGATCGCACCCAGCCGCTCTGACAAGATACGAGCCGTACGCAAGTAGCCCTGTCGAGCTGCTCTGGAAGGTTGAGGAGGATAGTATAATACGATAAAGCATAAATCCAATGGCCCCTTCTTGTATCTGACCGCCACTCCCCTCCCTCCCGCTCCTGCTGGGCTCGGAAATTTTTTTTTGAGGTTCGACTCGGTGGCCCCATGGGGTAGGACAATCGAGCACCCACAACTCCTGTTCGAAAAGGGTTCTCGGGTCACCGACGTTTCCAGCACCATCCTGCCCATGGAGCGAGCCCTCAAAACCTTCTGCTCAGCATCACGACGCACGTTTTGAGTTCCCGCCAGGAGAATAAAATCACAATTTCTCGCTTCCCCCACAATCTCGTCAAGACGCAGGCCTGTCGCCGCAAGTGGGTTGAACCCCAACACGCGCAGGGACATCACCGCAGCGAGCGCCGTGCATGCGAGAATGCAGCCCCCGAAGGAAGTCTGCGTGAGTTCGCGTCCCGCCCCCATTCCTTCAATCTCTCGGGCCAGGGGGGCTTAGAGCTAGGAGGAGAATGGGGAGGAGGAGGAGGAGGAGGAGGACGAGGAGGAGAGCGACGAGGGGGCGACAGCAGACGCGCAGGGCGGCGGTGGACGACGGCGGCAGGCGCCGCCGCCGCCGGGCGCCGTCGTACCCAAATCTCAAACGTCGTGATTGTGTCACAACGTCGACTACCAGAGGTCTAGACCCTCTCGCCGGGACCGGTGTTTCATCCCGAGCAGTTTTTGAGGATCCCGGGGCCCGTTGATGGCCCCCAGATGAAAGAACGACAGAAACAAACTCCCGTCGTGAACCGCTTTCAACGGGAAGAGGTGGGGATCGTCGTGGACGTCGTGGACGACGTCGTCTTCGTCGTCGTCGTCGTCGTCGAAGCGCCAATGAGGCGGCGCAAAAGGGGCGGCAGCCCGCCTCGGCGGCGGCGGCGGGCGGGCCCTCCGGCGGGGCGAAGGGCGAGGGCTGCGGCGGCGGGCTCGGCGGGGCCGCGGCGGCGGGCTCGGCCTGCAGGCCGGGCGGGGGGCGCAGGGGGGCAAAGGGGGCGGCCGAGGTCCAGCAACGGGGCCGAGGCCGAAGACCGGCCGTCAGTGGTGGGCCTGTTTTCCACCACCACCACCATACATTGGAGGGGGAGGGTGTCCTCCTCCTCGTCCTCCCCCTCCTCCTCCTCCTCCTCCTCTTCGTCCTCCTCCCCCTCGTCCTCGTCCTCGTTCGTCCTCCCCCCCGTCCAACTTATGGTGGTGGTTGTGGTGGTGGGAAACAGGCCCACCAGTCAGGAGCAGGGGAGGACAAGGGAAGGATGAGGGCAAGGGGTGGAGCGAGGGGAGGGGAAGGGGGAGGGGGAGGGGGAGGGGGAGGGGGAGGGGGAGGAGGAGGGGGAGGAGGAGAGAGGGGAGGAGGAGGAGGAGGAGGAGGAGGAGGAAATGTGATGGGCCCCCCTCTGTCTTTAACACGGTTCGTATCCCAGCATTCACGCTGTGAGTCTTAGTCTTGGGGAGGGGGGCCCTGTCATGTCCCTCGGTGTGCCGCCTATTCAGAGCCGCACCCGGGGGCGAAAAAATATGATGGGCCCCCCTTCGTCTAGCACTGGGCAACAAGTGGCCAGCGCTTCCGCCCCAAGTCTGGGGACATTTCCCTTAGAGCGTGCTGTGGACTGGCCTCACACGCCTGGCCCCAGTGGACACCCATCGCAAAGCGAGGTGGGTGCTGGGGCCGCGGGTTAACCGAGGAGGAGGAGGAGGAGGAGGAGGAGGAGGAGGAGGATGCCGAAGACCGGCCGTCAGGAGCAGCGTGCCTGCACGCAGAGAGCGGGCCCCAGGCCCCCGGCAAGGGTGGCCAGTGGTGCGCGGCGCTCGGGGGGCCCCTGCGGACCCGTACCACAAGGCTTGAGTCGGGCGTGTTCCCCTACAGGGGGATTTTCGACGAAATATATATATATATGTATATATATATGTATATATATATATATGTATATATGTATATATGTATATATATATATGTGTATATATATATGTATATATATATACACACACCAAAAACTCAAAAAATGCTTAGCAATAGTCAAAAAATAGTCCCCAGACTATTTTTTGACTATTTTTGAATTTCCCTCCTGTAGAGGGACAAGACAGGCCCGACTTAATGCTCGGGGGACCCCTGTGGACCCGTACCGCAAGGTCACTCCGGCGAGGGGTCACTACTGCTCGTCGCCGACCCTGCCGATCTGCCTGCCCCCGACGACGCCTGGGCGACAGCGGAGGGCGGCATCCCCCGCGTGGTAAGAGAAAGGAGACGGGGGAGGCACAGTGTTAGGTCGGGCATGTCCTCCTACAGGGGGATCTTGGACGAAAAAATG